AAGGATTTTATTTTTCCTTCACTTATGAAGCTCAGTTTGGCTGGATATGAAATTCTAGGCTGCAAGTTCTTTTCTTTATGGATGTTGACTATTGGTCCCCACTCTCTTCTGGCTTGTAGAGTTTCTGCCGAGAGATCTGCTGTGAGTCTGATGGGCTTCCCTTTGTGGGTGACCCGACCTTTCTCTCTGGCTGTCCTTAGTATTTTCTCCTTCATTTCAACCCTGGTGAATCTGACGATGATGTGCCTTGGGGTTGCTTTTCTTGTGGAGTATCTTTGTGGTGTTCTCTGTATTTCCTGAATTTGAGTGTTGGCCTGCATTGCTAGGTTGGGGAAATTTTCCTGGATAATATCCTGAAGAGTATTTTCCAGCTTGGATTCATTCTCTTCGTCCTCTTCTGGTACACCTATCAAACGTAGGTTAGGTCTCTTCACATAGTCCCACATTTCTTGGAGACTTTGTTCATTCCTTTTTGCGTTTTTTTCTCCCACCTTGGTTTCTTGTTTTATTTCATTGAGTTGATCTTTGACTTCTGATATTCTTTCTTCTGCTTGGTTAATTCGGCTGTTGAAACTTGTGCATGTTTCGCGAAGTTCTCTTGTTGTGTTTTTCAGCTCCTTCAATTCATTCATATTCCTCTCTAAGTTATCCATTCTTGTTATCATTTACTCAAATCTTTTTTCAAGGTTCTTAGTTTCTTTGCATTGATTTAGAACATGTTCTTTTAGCTCACAGAAGTTTCTCATTACCCACCTTCTGAAGTCTAATTCCGTCATTTCGTCACAGTCATTCTCCATCCAGCTTTGTTCCCTTGCTGGTGAGGAGTTTTGGTCCTTTCTAGGAGGCAAGGTGTTCTGGTTTCTGGTGTTTTCCTCCTTTTTGCCCTGGTTTCTTCCCATCTTTGTGGATGTATCTACCTGTCGTATGAGTAGTTGCTGACTTTTCGATTGGGTCTCTGAGTGGACGCCCAGAGTGTTGATGATGAGGCATTTCTGTTACTTGGTTTTTCTTCTACCAGTCTTGTCCCTCCGCTGTATGACTGCTGAGGTCCAATCCAGGCCCTGTTTGTCTGAGGTACACCTGTAGCAGCTGCAGAACAGTGAGGGATGTTACCAGTATCTTTTTCTGCTATCTTTGTCCCAGAATGATGCCCGCCTAATGTTAGTCTGATCAGTCCTTTTTGAGGTGACTCTGGATATACAGAGGTCAGGGAGCTGCTTTAGGAGACCGTCTGTACTTTATAGGAGCTCAAGTGCTGAGCTGTGAGCTCTGTTGTTCATTCAGGGCTGTTAGGCTTCTACGTTTATGTCTGCTGCAGCAGAACTCTTAAAACCCATTTTTTTCCCTCAGATGCTCTGTCTTGGGGAGTTGGGGCTTTCTTTATGAGTGTCCATTGCAATATCCTGCCCAGCTAGGAGGCAGTCTAGTCACTATTTGCCTGCCAAGGCTCCGCCCTGCTGATGTGGGGTCCGCTCTGTTGCTGCAGCCTGTGCCCTGCAGTTGTAGTCTCCCCCCTGCTGCCACAGGCTCTGCCCTGCAGTGGAGTCTCTCTGTTTTGGTGGGTTGCCTTGGCAATGGCAGGTTGCGTCAGCAATGGGGGTGTACCTCAGTAGGGGCGGATTGCCTCGGTAATGGCGGATGCCCCTCCCCCACCGAGCTGCACCGTCCTGGCTTCAGCTGTGCCCGCAGTGAAACTCTCCACCTGGAGTGTTTCGAATTGCTGTTTTGTTTGTCCCTGTGGAGGTGAAACCCACCGAGCCTGCTCGCCTGGCTCCCTGCCTCAGAAGGCCTTTCTTTTTTTTTTTTTTTTTTTTAAGTTGAACGGATTGCTCTCTCCCAGGTGTTTTGGTCACCTGCTGTTAGGGCACTGGGATCTGTGTGATTTCCTGTGCAGTGAGCCACTGCGCTGGCTCAAATGCCACTTCCCAGAAATCTCCTGGTCTGGCTCACTGTCCAAGTCCCGTTTAATCAGATGGGTATGCTAATCTGCCCTCCCAAATGTCAGATTGCCAGTTTAAAAGGGCATCCGGACCAATGTGTTTTGTGCAGAGTGTTGCGGAGTGTCACTGTGCTGTGGCACCGGCCGAAGCAGCCGCAACAGCCAAAATGGCTGTGCTTGCGTCCCATGTCTCTCCTACACCTGGGAATTTCCCCGTTTTGTGGGTAACATAGATCCGTCTGGAAATGCAGCTTTGACTCACCCTCTGTGCGTTCACTGAGAGCTGCGATCCTGAGTTGTTCTTACCGCAGCATCTTGAATTCGCACTCCTCATTGTGGTTTTGATTTGCATTTCTCTAATGAACAGTGATGATGGACTCTTTTTCTCATGTTTTTTGGCTGCATAAATGTCTTCTTTTGATAAGTGTCTGTTAATAGCCTTTGCCCACTTTTCATGAAGTTGTTTTTTTTCTTGTAAATGTGTTTAAGTTCCTTGTAGATTTTGGATATTAGACCACTGTTGGATATATTGCAAGAATTTTCTCCCATTCTGTAGGTTGCCTGTTCACTCTGATGGTAGTTTCTTCTGCTATGCAGAAGCTCTTTAGTATAATTAGATCCTATGTGCCAATTTTGGCTTTTGTTGCAATTGCTTTTGATGTTTTCGTCATAAAATCTTTGTTCATACCTGTGTCCTGAATTGTATTGCTTAGGTTTTCTTCTAGGGTTGTTATGGTTTTATGTCTTACATTTAAGTCTTTAATTCACTTTGAATTAATTTTTGTATAAGGTGTAAGGAAGGAGTCCAGTTTCAGTTTTCTGCATATGGCTAGCAAGTTTTCCCAACACCATTTATTAAATAGGATATCTTTCCCCCATTGCTTGCTTTTGTCAGGTTTGTCAAAGATCAGATTGTTGTAGCTGTGTAGTGTTATTTCTGAGGCCTCTGTTCCGTTCCATTGGTCTACATCTCTGTTTTGGTATGGTACCAGTACCATGATCTTTTGGTACTTTAGCCTTGCAGTAGAGTTTGAGGTCAGGTAGTGTGATGCCTCCAGCTTTGTTCTTTTTGCTTAGGATTGTCTTGGCTATATGGGCTCATTTTTGGTTCCAAATAAAATTTAATTTTTTTTTTTTTAATTCTGGGAAGAAAGTCAATGGTAGCTTGATGGGAATACCATTGAATCCTTAAATTACTTTGGGCAGAATGGCCATTTTCATGGTATTGATTCTTTCAAAACTTAAGCATGGAATGTTTTTCCATTAGTTTGTGTCCTCTCTTATTTCCTTGAGCAGTGGTTTGTAGTTCTCCTTGAAGAAGGCCTTCACATCCCTTGTAAGTTATATTCCTAGGTATTTTATTCTCTTTGTAGCAATTGTGAATGGGAGTGTTCTCATGATTTGGCTTTCTGTTTGCCTTTTATTGGTATATGGGTATGCTTGTGGTATTTGCATATTAATTTTGTATCCTGAGATTTTGCTGAAGTTGCTTATCAGCTTAAGGAGTTTTTGGACTGAGACAATGGTTTTTTTTTTTTTTTTTTTTTTGAGACAGGGTCTTACTCTGTCTCCAGGCACCAGGCTGGAGTGCAGTGGCACAATCTCGGCTCACTGCAACCTCCGCCTCCTGGGTTCAAGCAATTCTCCAGCCTTAGCCTCCTGAGTGGCTGGGACTACATTTGCATGCCACCATGCCCAGCTAGTTTTTGTATTTTTGGTAGAGATGGGGTTTCACCACGTTGGTCAGGATGGTCTCGATCTCTTGACCTCATGATCCGCCCTCCTTGGCCTCCCAAGGTGCTGGGATTACAGGATTGAGCCACCGTGCCCGGCCACCTGACAATGGGGTTTTCTAAATACACAATTATGTCATCTGCAAACAAAGACAATTTGACTTCCTCTCTTCCTATTTGAATATCATTTATTTATTTCTCTTGCCTGATTGCCTTGGCCAGAAATTCCAATACTATATTCAATAGGAGTGGTAAGAGAGGGAATCTTTGTCTTGTGTTGGTTTTCAAAGGGAATGCTTCCAGCTTTTGTCCATTCAGTATGATATTGGCTGCTGGTTTGTCATAAGTAGCTCTTATTATTTTGAGTTATGTTCCATTGATGCCTAATTCATTGAGTGTTTTTAGCATAAAGGGTGTTGAATTTTATTGAAGGCCTTTTCTGGATCTATTGAGATAGTCATGTGGTTATTGTTATTGGTTCTGTTTCTGTGATGGATTACGTTTTTTTGATTTGCATATGCAGACCCAGCCTTTCATCCTAGGGATGAAGCTGACTTGATAGTGGTGGATAAGCTGTTTAATATTCTGTTGGATTCGGTTTGCCAGTATTTTATTGAGGATTTTCACATCAATGTTCATTAGGGATATTGACCTGAAGTTTTCTTTTTTTGATGTGTCTCTGCAAAGTTTTGGTGTCAGGATGATGCTTGCATCATAAAATGAGTTAAGGAGGAGTCCCTCTTTTTCTATTTTTTTTTGAATAGTTTTAGGAGGAATGGTACCAGCTCCTCTTTATACCTCTGGTAAATTTGGCTCTGAATTCCTATGGTTTTGGGCTTTTTTTTTTGGTTAGTAGGCTATTAATTACTTCCCCAATTTCAGAACTTCTTATTGGTCTATTCAGGGATTTGGCCTCTTCCCAATTTAGTCTTGGGAGGGTATATGTGTCTAGGAAAGTATTCATTTCTTCTAGATTTTCTAGTTTATTTGCATAGAGGTGGTCATAGCATTCTCTGATAGTAGTTTCTATTTCTATGGGATCAATGATGGTCTCTCCATTATCATTTTTTGTTGTGTCTATTTGATTACTCTCTCTTTTCTCCTTCATTAGTTTGGCCAGTGGCCTACTTGTTTTGCTAATCTTTTCAAAAAACAGCTCCTGGATTCATTCATGTTTTGAAGAGTTTTCATATTTCTATCTATTTTGTTGATCTTTTCAAAAAATCCAGCTCCTATATTTATTGATTTTTTGAAGGGATTTTTTGTGTCTCTATCTTCGTCAGTTCTGCTCTGACCTTAGTTATTTCTTCTCTTCTCCTAGCTTTTGTATTTGTTTGCTCTTGCTTCTCAAATTTGTGTGTCATTCTTGCACAGGGGCCATGCTAATCTTCTCTGTATCTTTCCAATTTTAGTATATGTGCTGCTGAAGCGAGCACTGTTTGCTCTTGCTTCTCTAGTTCTTTTAATTGTGATGCTAGGTTGTTGATTTTAGATCTTTCCTGTTTCTCCTGTGGGCATTTAGTGCTATAAATTTTCCTCTAAATGCTGCTTTAGCTGTGTCCCACAGATTTTGGTATGTTGTGTCTTGGATCTCATTGTTTCAGAAAGCGTTTTATTTCTGCCCTAATTTAGTTATTTACTCAGCAAGAATTCAGGGTCAAGTTGTTCAGTTTCCATGTGGTTGTGCAGTTTTGAGTGAGTTTCTTAATCCTGAGTTCTAATTTGATTGCACTGTGGTTTGAGAGACTGTTTGTTATGATTTCTGTTCTCTTTTATTCAAATTCAGTATCTATTCACAGTAAAACAAAGTGATTAGTAAAATTTATAAGGAGTATTTATCTTTTACAATACAAATTTTATCATAAAATTGATGAATGAAACCTACAAAGTTCCCACAAATGAGTAACAAGTAAATGGTGTCCACCATCACCATTTAAAAAATATTAATAAGGTAATAAGAAGAAATAATGCATGAAGCTAATATAAGACTAGATGAGTTGGCTATTGATTCAGAAAACCTAAAAAAAGCTAAAATATTAAAAATAAATAATGACTTTCTCAAGGTCATCAGTTATAAATAAATACGCCAAAATAAATACCCATAAAATCTGCTAGTGATAGATTGGAAACAGGGTGGTCAAGAGAGCGGACTCTTCACTTATTTATTCTATTGCCATAGTTCTCATACTTCAGCATGCATTAGAATCACTGCAGAGCCTGCTGAAACAGCTTGCTGGGCCTCAGACATGCTGATTCCAGAGATGGTGATTCAGTTTTTCCAGGTGGGGCTTGAGAATTTGCTTTGTTAACTTGTTATAATTTCCAGTGATCCTAATGCTGCTGGTTCCTGGACTACATTTGGATAGCCTACTACTCTGTGAAGTTGAAGTCTTATCTAGCTGTGCTTCTCAAAAATGCAAGCCTTGCCGCATCTTCAATATCCTTTCATGTGTGCTACCCCAGTGAAACACACCTTCAGCTCCTGAAGCTCACTCCCTCATTGGGACTTCATAATCCAGCATTCATCCGTTTTTCAAACTCACTTCTACGTTCTGGAAGAAAACATTCATCTATTTCCCAACTCTAGAAGTAGTTAGAGAACAAAGGTGACAAATCCACCATCAACCTTAATTCAATGTCATTGCCATTCCTGAAACTAAAAAGGAAGAAAAGAGGGGAGAGAAGAGATTAGGAGTAGAGAAAACAGTGCAGAGAAGCTGAAAGGAAAGCCTCCAAAATAGCGTTGTTGGAGATAGTTTGTATCTGTAAATTTCTCAGCATTGCAGGGATCCGCTCCCCATGACCTTCAATTCCCTTGTACACATTGCTTTTCTCAGATATTACATGTTCAGATTCATTTGATGACCAAGATTGGGAGACATGCAGAAGAAGCTTTCCTTTATTTAGAGCAGTGAGTCAAATCTGAATGCATATCAGATTCAATTAAATGGCAATACCTGCATCTCATCTTTGAGATTTTGATTTTGTTGATCTGAGGTGGGACTATTGGCATTTTACTAAAGTTTTCCCATGAAATATAATGCCCCTCCATGACTGAGAAGAGATTCCCTATGACCTCAAAGTTGGCTAAGAAAAATTGTGCCCCAGACCAGAGAAGTGAGAATTTTCCCAAAATAGCCAACACGTCTTTCTTTACTTCCACCTGGAAATGTGTACTTTCCATTTGATTGATATTAAAGTTCAAAAGTATCTCTGTAGTTAAATTTGTGTGGAGAATGCAAATTGCCTTACAACAATGAGCGAGGACTCAGGCAGCTCACCATCTGACTTATGGTTGATGACTGATTTTATGTGTTAACTTGGATAGGCTACGAAGACCAGATAGGCTACGAAGACCAGATGTTTGGTCAAACACCTGTCTAAAGGTTGCTGTGATGGTATTTTTCAGATGAGACTGCAGACTTGAGAAAAGCCACGTGCCTTCCATAATGTGGGTGAGCTTCCTCTAGTCAGTTGAAGGCCTTAAGCAAAAAGGGTGACGTCTACCAGAGGAAGAGGGAAATCTGTCTTTAATATGAGTTCACTCTCAAGGTGCAAGATCAACTCATCCCTGGGTCTCCAGCCCGCTCAGCAGATTTTGATTTTGCTAGCCCCTACAATGATGTGAGCCAATTCCTTAAAAATCTTTCTCCTCTCTCTCTCTCTCTCTCTGTGTCCCTTCTTCCCTCCCTTTCTTGGGGTTTATGGCTTCCCTTTGGGCAACTTTGTCCCCTGAACAGAATACAGATCAACATTGGGTCTCTTAAACCTTTTGAGCCTGAAATAGCCTCTCTAGGGCCATCCGCTCCAGAGTCTGTGATATCTGTTCCTGATATCACCCCCATTCAGACCTGGTAAGATGTGCATAAAGGATAATGGATAATAAACTTAAAATATAGTATTTGGGTTCTAAAACCTTTCCAAATATTCAGATGTATGTAGCAGCCAGATGATCGAGCTTTCAACAACAACCTCAGTACTTTAGATTCCAGTTTCAGAATTGCACATTAAACCAATTTTGGGAGTGGGTACAAGGCAAAAGTTAGAAAAAACATGGGATATTAACCTTCACAGCAAAACCTTTCAGATTCATTGAACTGATTGCTCAAATAGCCTGTTTCCATTATTGTCCAAGCTTTGTGAATCACAGAAAGTACACTGCTAATCACCGCTTGTCTTGTTTTAAATAGGTCAGAATGTTCTCAAAAATAAAAGCTCAGTAAGCCACTAACCTTTTGTATTGGCCACTGCTATTTTATCTAGAGACCTTGTACGAGGACGAGATGATTGGTCTGTGGCAGTGGTTCTGAAACGATAATATGTATCAAATTTATGCAGAGTGCTTGAAAAACATATAGTGTTTGCGTCCTAATCCTAGACCTTCTGATTTAGCAGGTTTTGGGTAGAACCTGACAGTCTGCAATTTTAACAAATTTTCAGGTGATGCTGATAACTGCTTGTCCATACACTACACTTATAGGAACTCTAGCTCTTAAGAAATGCTGCCAAGCAAATGAATTAATGAAAAATATTTTTTTCCACTTGGGTTCAGTAGATGATCAACAGGGATTCATCGAGTACTTAATACGTGCTTGGTCAGCACTGTGATAGTGTTGTGTGGGCAGATGAGAACAGTTGCAGCCATCAAAGAACTAACCATCCATTTGGAGGATCGAGACTAACATACCTGTTTGTAGTAAAGAACAAGCCTTGAGACATAACAGCTTATATGTTACAGATGCAAAGACTGGCAGGAGTTCATAGGAAACGGACGTAATGAGGATTCTTTGAACTACAAGAAGTAAGTTGAAGGGGAAATGAACTGGGCCTTGAAGAACTGGATTAGTAGATTAGAAAATAAGAAATTCAAGGTGAGAGAGTCACATGGGGACAGAGGCAGAGTGAGCATTAAATCAGCTGTTAGGGGAAATGGTTGGTATCTTGCACATGAATGAATTTAATAGATAATGCGATGATTACCATGACTTAGAGTGGTAAACAGATTTGGAATGGTTAGGGGAAGAGGTATATTTTGAGAGATCTGTGAGCCCAGGGAGAGGATATAGAATTAGCACAGTAGGAAATTCAGAATGTTAAGCAGAAGAAATGCATGATAAAAGTAATATATGGGAAATATAAATTCAGAAAAAATGTGCAGAATAGATAGGACTGTGTGAAAATAAAAGGTGCATCGAGTTCCTGGAGCTAAAGGCTTATTGGGTTATCCAAGAATGAGATATGAGAAGATTAGGGCCAGAATTAAGCTTATTGCAGTAAGAGTAAGAAAACAGATACTCAACATTTTCTGCAGAAAATGATTTGTTTCAGTGACATAAACAAATGCATAAAGATACTACTTTTAAACGTGGGTATTCATCAGGAAAGGAACTACTATTAACAGGGAGAAATATTTTTATAATTTAATTTTGCCAGAGAGACATATCTGATTTTGGATTTGTAGATTTGAGGTTATAGTACATTCAAAAAAGGAATTGTCTAGCTAAGATTTGTAGATTTAAGGAGAATACATAACTTACATCAATTTGAGGGTAATTGACATTAATTTGTTATTTGAAGCTGTAAACACGAGAGAAAATATTTACTCACACACATTTATTCCTTATGTTTCACTGGATCACTTTCTATAGGTCAGACATTGTAGTGGGAGTACAAATGGGAATTTAATAAGAGAATTTAGAGAAAGAAAGCCAAGAAATTGAATCTAGGAAGAACTCCTTAGTTAGAATTTGGATAAAGTCAGAGGAATCAATGAAGAAAACACATGAGAGGTACAGTTGTAAAAGGAGAATGAGGATGATGTTGGGAAGGGTTAGAAGTAAAGGAAGCGATACCTTGTGGCAGCAGAGGTCAAGGATAATCATGGAGAAAGGTGAAATCTCTTCGGGAAGAGTAGGCAGGAGAAGAGAGTAGATTTGAAGATACTGATAAAGAAAGAGCCATAGAGCAATAATAGTAGAAATGCGTTAAGATACCATACTGGTGGAGATCTACTAATTTTAGAGAAGAAAAAAATACCTCATCTTCTGAGACTGAAGGGAAAGCACAATGGAAATGGGACTTATTTTCAATACAAGCATATATATTTTTTCAAAGTTAAACATATTTTTACATAAATCTATAACTATTAAATATTTTTGCGTATAATGGAATCTATGCTTATAAATTATATGTGCATTTAAATGTAAACATTCACTGACTTTGAACTCAAGGTATTTCCATTAATATTTGGATAGTTCAGTTTTTACATGAATACTTTGCAGAATGAGATAAATTAAATCTAACAAATATGAATTACAACATATCTAGTAGGATAATAAATTGCTTATTTTCTTATTTCTATCAAAAAATCCTATTTAAAAAAATTATTTCTATTTTTTTAAAATTTCTGTTTTAAAAAGATTCATTTTTTTCCCCC